TATCCGAGATGTAACATATTTTTCGACTATCTTTAATTTATCAGCTTATATCTTTAATTTATCAGCTTATTTTTACTCCTTCAAATCTTATACATAGTTCCAAGATATGTTTAATAATTTTGGTACTGATCTTTACTAGTAATACTGATGCTTATTATTTTTTCTACTGCTTTTTGCTAATATCTAGTATATAGCTTCTCTACTATTCAAGTGTGTCTGGGTTTTAATCAATTTTTGGGTTTCAAATTTCAGATCACATGTCACGAGATCATGATTTGGAACAATTATGTATATAGGGTTTATTAACAATAAAAATAATCACGAATTTAATCAATTTACTAGTCTTATATAAATAGAGGCCGATTACTAATTTGATCTTTTTCTTTTACTTTTTAATGTACTAACAATAAAGGGTCTTTACTAATCACAAACCAAAAAATATGATATATGACTTTTACGTTACGATTTATTAAGAAGCAAGAATTTTGAAACTACTATTTATATACTATCATAGTTATGAACTCAAGTGAAGTTGTTTTTTATTTTTAGCAAAGTACTTGCATTTAAATACATTTTACTCTATACTAATTTACTACAGATTTTTCTGCTGTTGCAACCATATCTGCCAGAACTGCCATAACTACCATAATTGCCATAACTGCTATAACTGCAATAACTGCTATATCTGCTAGCTATGATAGTCTTTGCCCAATTTGGTTAAATTAACTTAAACCATTTTGATATCGATTTTGTACGACTTTCTCTTTTACATTCTCCTGCCCTTATTTTCGAATTCTATGAGAATAATACTTTTTCATATAATACCAAAACAAACAAATTAAGAAATAGGAATAATATTGATATAGAGAAAAAAAAATTTTTTTTTTTAATTAATTATTGTAAAAATCATCAAAATCGTCCTCTAAATAGTGGTCAGTTGCAGTTCCTTCACTCATGAAGGGAATAGAAAATACAAGTTGCAATAGTTGTTGATAGTCTTGAAGTGGTAGATGAGCGATTCTGAACAAGTTTATGTAAGTAGTATAACTGATTTGTTCTACACTGAAAAATTCGAACATGTTATGTATACAAATAGTGGCATTGTAATAATGCCTAGTTATTTTTAATTTTTGTAAAGTTCGTTGTGCTGGGGTCAGATTTTCAATTAAGATACCTAAATAATATACATAAGTTAAGACCCCAGTATGATGCCTTACTTGTGTAGACTGTAACATAGCTCTATAAGTAAGATTTATTTTTGTTTCAATGGGGTCTGACTTGGTATAAGGAGAAGGAACTGGAGTTATATTCATGGGTTGAGAGGTTAATAGATCATTGATAAAGAGACTTACATCTGTAGGCATCTCGACTTTGTGATAGTAGATTCTATTTGTTTGATACGTATCTATTTATATCTTTTCTGTCATGATAAATTTTTAATAACTTTCTATTGAACGAGTTTACTAATACCTGCACTTCTACTGTTCTTAGTTTATAGAGTATTATGTATATAGAAATGCCCTTTATATTGTGGAACTAGCTTATAGCTTTGTGTACCTATTGTTCTTGTATTGTATACCCATACCTTGTTCCCTATCATGAAGTCATTACTAATTATTATTTTATCATCATTTGCAATTTTTTTTTTTTGTTGATTTTCACAGATTTGATCTGTGGCTTGGTTATAGATTTCAGATAGATCATGTTCTAGATTTAAGATCTTTTGCATAAATGTTTTATCTAACAATGGGTCTGACGTACTTGGGTGTGTAGGCTGCTTAGCCTCCCTTTCATATAAAAGGAAAAATAGCATTATTTGTATAGTGCTGTGCCTCACAGTTCTATATGCAAACAGAACAGGTTGTATAAATAAGTCTTATTCATTTGTTTTATTTACTAATTTGGCAAGTGATATACAGATCGATTTATTAAATCATTCTACCAAGCTGTTTGTTTGAGAGTGATATAGTGTAGAGTACTGCTGTTTAATTTGAAACTTCGATAATAGATTATCGATCATCACATTCCAAAAATAGAAGCCTCGATCTGTGAGAATAAAATTAGGACAGCCATATCTACAGATTATTTCTTCATAAATAAAGCTAGCTATCTCTTCAGCCATATCTCTTGGTATCGCTTTGGCCTCTGGCCATTTGGTTAAATAATTGGTCGCTACAATAATATACCTATTGAGCATGGGTGTTCTGGGCAAGAGTCCTACTATATTGATACCGATCTTACTAAATGGTTCTTCTATAGGTATAGAGTGCAATGCTCATTCAAATTTCTATCTCCTTATTTGAATATATCAGCGAATATCTTTATTTATTTGTGGCCAGTAGTAATAATTTCTTATTTTGTTAAAAATTATTTCTTGACTTAGATGTACTCCTAATGGATGATTATAGAGCTAAAGTAGTATTGGTTTGATTCGTGTTCTTGGAGGACTTTTAGCAGCCCTTTGTCACTTTTGTTCTTTTTGTATAAATGCTTTCTTTGACGATATAGTATTTACTTTAGGATTCCAACCTCCTACGCTATTTTTATTATATCCTAGAGGAACCTGTTTGTGTCTAATATAATTCTTCAAAGTGTTGTAGTTTTGTGGGTCTATTGCTTTAAATGTTGTCAATGTTCTTTATTCTTTTTGGCTTTTCTTTTTTTTTTTTTTTTTTATATTGACAGGATACCAACAACCTGAACCAGATTTGAGCTTAATGTCGGATTTGGATGCTCTGATTATTTCACTAGTTGAAATCAAAAATATAAACCAAATATCATCAAGCAATCATCTAATCGATAGCTGGCCGATAGTTTGGTGGCTGCTATA